GAACTTTGTAGGTGTACAGACCGTTTAATAAGAACTTATGAAGTCCACTTCGTTTATACACAGCAGGACCTTTGGAAAACAGTCTCGATAAGTCGAACCACGAACGATGTGCCAAGTGAGCTGAACTGTAAAAAGTTCAGTAAACTTCTGAACTATATGAACAGCGTTCGTGGTTCGACTTGTCGACTATTTTCTCCTGCCTGTATACACGAAGTGGATTGTCTTTATAAAGTATCATCTTATTACGTTACGTTACTGTGTTAGTGTGGGGCGATTTTGGTATAAACTAGCGATTTCTTTTTACTTATTATATGCCCCCATATATTAGCGTTATACGTGCACGTGCTCCTTAAAAGCAATCTTATAGATAATTCTATCGAACCAGCAACTATTTTAAAAACGGAACAATTGACTCAAATTTCCTGACTGATTTCAGCATTTTCGCCATTTTTTTTAAAAGATGTGCCAATGCTTTAATTCCAAATTAAAGGAATTCAGTCGTGAGTACAATGTTATCATTCGCACAGTCTGTGGGTGTGATCTCAAGGAAGCTTATATATAAGCATCTGTCCTTCGCACAAGAAATATATCTGTTTTTCCTTTCAGAGCGAAGTGTACACATTTTTTACTTTTCCATTCGGGCTCAGCCTAACTCTGCATGGGTTCAACATGTGCATAGAGGCAGCATTTTCAATGCTGAGACACAATGGGCTCAGAATATCTGCTCATCTGGATGATTATCGTACATGCGCTCACTCACGGGAGTGTGCAGAATGGGACACAGAGATGCTCTCTTCTCGTTTCACGAATCTGGGGTCCAGAATCATCTACGCCAAAAGCCAGCTGATTCCATCTCATGAGAGAACCCGGCATACTTTGCTCTTGGAAAGAATGATAATGGCGTTTTATCAGTGCCTAGCCCAGTTTCGCAGGGGAACCTTGGTATTGTTCAGGACCTGAATCTTTGAGATGGTCCTCACTGCAGAACATGGAATGCAGGGAGAGGAGTTGGATCCAAATTCAACCTGATTCCTAACCCCACCCCTACCCATCTCCAACCTTTAGATCTGGATCCAATTCTGCCCGCTGGATATCGTGGACTGCAATGAGGTGCTACTGGACTCTTTTGGGCATGATGGCTTTTTCACTGTCTCTGGTCCCGGTGGGCTTGCTAAAAATGAGGGACTTCTAGCGATGGGTAGCAGCGAGGCGTATGTGTCATCGTCTGCACCTTGTGCGCAGAGTGAGAATATCCACGGAGTGCATGACAGCTCTTCATTAGCGAAGAGTCTATTCCAGACTGTGGTTCTTCTCGGGGGCATTACTCTGAGGAAAAAGGAGTTACAATCGATGCATTCCTGACAGGCTGGGGGCCTGTTTTTCAGAGAAATAATAAAATATTGATCAAAATTAAGAGACAATTCATATTAAACGAAAATCTTTAAAAAAAAAAGAGTCTTTCTACATAACAAAGCTCAATGAATTGGTTAAAATCATGTCTTGCCCCCTCAATGTCTCTAGACATATTGCACATCTCATGATGCATCATATCTTTCTCACGTTGCATGCTCACTTTCATAATCAACATTGATTTAATTAAAAAATAACATTAGTCTATAACATTTAAACATAAATATGATACTAAATATATTTACTTTAATGGCTACAATGCCTACTACTGTACAGACAAATTTCTTTTTTTTTTCGTAATGATGTCATATTTTTCAACCCAGCCCTCAGCCCCCCTCGCATGAAACAGCTTCCAGCGTGCCTGTCACTGGCATGGTACTGTAAGTGAAATGTTTCCCACTGACATAACATAATATACTTGGGGTGACACAGCCAACATTCAAGGATACTTATCTTCTTCTGAATTTATTATTAAGGAACACAAGTGCTGTATGATACTACTTTTAATTATGACTGTTGTTTCCGACGTGCAGTATATTCTGCTGAATAGCGGCGGAATCCGGTGCTGGGGTCATCCGACGTTCGCTCATTGATTTCAGAGCGCTGCTGTTTTGCTGCTGGTTCAATTAGATACTAAAACCAAACGATTTCCGTCAAGTTCATTCCACTTTGGCTGCGGACGAAACGAAACTGAAAATGTATGCAGGTTGATAAGAGGGATATTACCTCCCTGCAGAGCTAGTGTGTTTAGTGTGTGTGTGTGTGTATGCGTGAATGTTTACCAGGAGAGTGTGGTGTGAGTTGGGTAATTGTATTGTTTCTTTCTAATGTTTGTTTAGTTAATTTATGTTGTATTTGTTTCTATCGTGAACTGTGTATTTAATGATTTTCTGTATATTCTGTTCTTTTAGTTCATTAGGAATAGAGTGCCGAAGTTACAACGTCACTCTGTAGGCCGAAACGCGGAAGTGAGTTAGCATTTTAGCACTACGGTTCCCTCGCTCTAAAGCCTATGGGATTTTTGAATGGGTTTTTGCTAAATCGCCTGAAATACGGTTTGTGGTGAACAGAGCCTCTAAATATTTTCACGTTTTGATCTATGACACAGAAGACACAGTTATAACCTGCTTATGGTTTTTTAAACTTTATTGTGTCTGATTGTGTTTTTTAAAATCATAGGCTTCAAAATGTATAAATTCCGGATTAACTTGATAGACAAAACGTGTAAGGGTCACAACTCTTTGTTAAACACACATTATTTCTATGGGGAAAATGCATTGCTTTTCGGCTGAGGGAACCCATGCGCCGCTAGCTTCCGAGTTGTCCTACAAAGTGACGTCATCACTTCGGCACTCTATTCACCTTTGGCTAAGCCACGCCCTAGAATGTAGATTGATCAATCACCCCGCAGCTAAGAACGAGCTCCCACAGAGGTCGGACACTTTTTCACAGCGCTCTATTGACTTTCAACACAGGCGTCTCATATTTTTGGTCTCGGCAGGCTATTAACGTCATAATTTTATCAAAAATATGGTTAAACGTTGTGCCTCGGACAATTGTAACACAGATACGCATTTCCCAGAGAGGTTGGAGGGGGGTGTCCGTTTTTTCCCTTCCCAAAACCGAAGTAAAATCCTGACAAGTGTCGCCTTTGGATTAAACTGTGTGGATGTCCTCAGTCAGCTAAACCCCGCAAAGATCAACAAGCACATATTTTTTTACTTCTAACTTTACTGTTTGTTTGTTTGTTTGTTTGTTTATTTATTTATTTATATAGCACTATTAATACACAACCCAAGTTGAACCAAAGTGCTTCACAAACAAATTCCCATGAAGGATAAAAATAAAGACATACTTCAACCAGTTAAAATATCACATATTAAATATCACATCTACTCATTGTAGGCTAAGGACATTAGATATGATTTACACAGATGCTTAAAAATCGGCAGTGATTTTTTTACTGTGAGTGTGAAGTTATACTAGTTAGACCGTTTTATAATGTTTTAGGTTATGATTTCGGTTCTCATACCGGTTGTTGACACTCTAGCACACACTGCTAATAAACACAAGGTTATACTCGTGTAGTCCGTTTGCTTTGTAATAACGATTATAGAAGTGAATAGAGACCTACCCAGCTTTGCATGAACAGTGTTGCTTCCTGAAATTGTTAGTCCCAGCCTCCGTCTCGATTAGTAGGAAATGCAGTGGTTCATTTTTTTTTTTGACTGTGACCAGTAACGTTATGCTTTTGCCTCTATTTTGGATGCCATGTTGTTTCTTGCGTTTCACCTGTATGTCTTGAATATAGCCTTCGAACACATATTGCAGCCCCTTTTGCCTACTTCTATCGGACACTTTATTTGCTGCTTTATAAAGTTTGATAACATTTCAGCAGGAAGAGCTGTTACGGCATAAGCCACGCAGAGCGCAGATGAAGTTTGACGGATGTAGCAACAGTAACTAAGGGGGGCGGGGCTTAGCCAAAGGTGAATTGAGTGAGTGTCTAAAGTAAAGGGGTGGGGGCCGCGGGGCTTTTGCATTTCGTTTGCTATTTATTGAGTGTTGTGCTCAACAAATAGCAAATTTTTTTATGTGCTATTTTTTTTATGTTTGTTTAATTCAATGTTTGTTTGGTAGATAATAGCCATAACGTCAATATTATAATATCAAGCTGCAATGAATCTGCAAATTTAAAAAATCGATTTGCATTATAGCCTGAGGCAAGACACTTTCACCAGAAAAATAAATAACAAACACGACTATCAGCCTGCAGACATAGGATAGCTATCCTGGCCGATTATTTTGTCCGTCTAATCATGTATTATTTACTTGGAAGAATGTAGCCCCTACCGCACTCAGTAGCTAATCAGTATACTTTCACGTCTCGAGCTGGCACGTGCTGCCCGCCCTGGCTCTACGGGGATGCTTGAGTGTGTAGTCTACACTGGATGTGGCGAGGAACACATTACCAACCGTAAACTGATTGCCCGCGCACTCTGTTTCTGACGCACTTCACGTTTGCTAGGCGGGGGGAGATTGATGTAATCTCTTGATGCGATCAGACCGGAGTCGGGGGACTTAGTTACATTTTTGTGGAGTACAGTCAACTGTTCTCCGACAAAACCTTTGGCTTTTTGGATTTACTTGCTGCTTCAGCTATGACAAGAGGGGAAAAAACGCTCATTGGGCTCTCGCGTTGGAATTTGAGCAACTGGGGGAAGTGACGTATGCCGTAAAGCAGTCAAATTTTGTAGTTCTTTTTGTGCTCGGGTTCCTACCCGCTCCCCGAAGTTACAGAGTGCCAGTAAAGCGAAACAGACCACGTCAGTCTATGGCAGACCTGTCATTCAACCTATTGTCAGTCGATGTGCCATCTTAAGGGTTTTGGAAAAATATTATAAAGTTTGAAAAAGTTGCATAGTGCTGCTTTAAGCTCTAACTTGCTAGCTCTCTAAAATGTTAATCTTTTGTGATTTGTTTGGGTCAGTTCTTTAATAAATGGGCTAGAGTAATGTTAATAAAAGCTTTCCAGGTTTGATATTTTAATGTAACATTTAAGTAAACTTTTTTCAAAATAACCACTTCAGCAAGGTATATATTTCATGTTTATTTCAATCACATAACATCCTAAGTATTCTAACAGCTACTTTTGTATATCAATATTTTACAAATGTATGTACATCCTTCAAAAAAAAAAAATCCCTCCAGTCCTTACTGTATCACTGAGCATAACAATGCTAAAAAATAGATAATAGATGAGTATCTAAAAAAGATGGCAAGAAACGAGACATTCACCGGACAGACAAACTTTTCCAGACAAAACCTTTTGACAACACATCAACATTGTAATTATACAATACGTCACTGTAGCATTTTATATACTTTACAAAATATGATTTACTATATTTAATCAGGCAAGCTTAATTTAGAAACTGTATTTGGAATGTTTTTTTAAAAGAGGCTAATGATCAAGTTTGTGCAAGTTTATGTTTTCCAATAAGTTTTTTATACAAACTCTCACATGCCTTCCTTTTAATTTTCATTACTATATTAGTTTAAGAACCCTAAATTTTGAACCTTTCAAAGTGCTTTCTGGAACCTCCAGATCCATTGCATGCATTTGCAGACGTCTCATTGTGTGTCTGCGACTATGTTCCGTTTGCCCATTTCCCCATCCATCTCTTCTAGGCATCCCTTTATAAGTGTAGCATATGTCATCAGTAGTGTAATTACGTCCAGGAACCATATGAGTTTTCCTATAACCTGCATTACCTCCCATTTGGGGTGACCTTTGCATGGTGCTCATTCCCATATTTGAATTTCTCACAGCCAAATCCTCTCTAATTCTTGAAACTTGAGGTTTAGGCACTGATATATTGTTCCAGTTGTCATCAATACCAAAGTTGTTTGCTTTTGTTTTATTATCTCTTGACTTGAGTGCCCCAGACATATCACTGTAGTAAACATCTGATGATGTTGGACGTACACCAGAGATTCTGGTCTTGGAGGTGGGTAAAGCCATTGTAAAATCAGGTGAGCCAGAGAGATGTTTTTGCATTGCAGGCCACTGGGCTTTATCTGAAAATTTCATGTCTCTGTTCAAGTCGAAATATGGGTCCTGCATGTTCAATTCTGAGGGACCGTATTTCTGATGAGACGGTATTCTGAGATCAAGATCATTTGTTCTGGCTGACTCTATTTTACCTCTTGGGACAGCAAAATTGTAAGTGTGTGCTTGAGTATAGGCACCAAAATCAACATCAGGCCCCAGGCCTTGAAAGTCAGGGCTATCGGTTCTTCCTTTAATTCGGGGGGTTTTTAGATTCATCTTTGGAGAGCTGAACTGAAGATTCCCAGGAGGAGCGTCAATGTCAAAGTCAGGTGCATTTACATCAAGATGGGGTTTCTTGACATTTGGTCCTTTAATTTTTCCTTTAGGGAAATCAACACTCATATCTGGGGCTGTGATATCTGCCTTATGACCTCTGATATTAAAGTCTGGGGAATCAAAATCAGTTTTAATCTTTGGCGCTGAGAGATCTATTTTAGGGGTATTTAGATCATAATCAGGTGTCTTTATTTTTGGTCCCGAGAAACCAATATCAGGCATCTTTAAAGTTGGCATCTTCATTTTACCAGATGGCATGTGCATGTTTGGAATTGTAAGATCTGTTCTTGGACCTTTAAGATCAGCATTGGGTCCATAAATGTCCATATCAGGACGATTAATCGCACCCTTTAGTGTGGGAGCTGATGTGCTCAGATTAAGGTCTGGCTGATCCATGTCCGCATCAACATTCATATGTGGCCCTTTCGAACCTGACAGGCCAAAACTGGGCATTTTTAACTTTGGCATGTTCAATTTACCTGAAGGACCATTGAAATCAATATCAGGTGATTTGAGATCTATGTTTGGGCCTTTTAAATCAGCTTGAGGCAGAGCCAGATCCATGTCTGGGGTATTGATTCCTCCCTTAATATTGGGGCTGTTAATATTCTGGTCTGGAGATTTGATTTTAAGATCTGGGCCTTTTGGTTTGCCACTTGAGAAGCCAAGTTTGGGAAACTTCAGTCTACTTGAAGGAGAATCCATTTTGAGATCAGGTGCATTCATGTCAATATTTGGTCCTTTAATTTTACTTTTAGGGAAATCAACATTCAGATCAGGTGCTGTGATATCTGGCTTATGACCACCAATGTTGATATCTGGGGAATCAAAGTCTGCCTTAAACTTTGGAGTTGACAAATCCATTTCAGGGGTCTTCAAATCATAGTCGGGTGTCTTTATTTTTGGTCCTGAGACACCAAACTTAGGCATCTTTAAAGTGGGCATTTTCATTTTTCCAGAAGGCTTGTCAATGTCTGGAAGTGTAAGATCTGTATGTGGACCTCTGAGATCTACATTAGGTCCATGTACATCAATATCAGGACCGTTTATTCCTGCTTTTAGTTTGGGAGTTGATGCACTTAGATTAATGTCAGGCTGATCAATGTCAGCATCCACATTCATGTGTGGCCCTTTCAAACCTGACAAGCCAAAACTGGGCATATTTAGGTTTGGCATTTTAAATTTACCTGATGGGGCATCAACATCAAAATCAGGTGATTTGACATCTAAGTTCGGGCCTTTAAATTCAGTTTGAGGCAGAGTCAGATCCATGTCTGGTGTATCGATTCCTCCCTTAATTTTGGGGCTTTTGAGATTCAGGTCTGGAGAATTGATTTTAAGATCTGGGCCTTTTGGTTTGCCACTTGAGAAGCCAAGTTTGGGAAACTTCAGTTTACCTGAAGGAGAATCTATGTTGAGAGCAGGTGCATTCATGTCAATATTTGGTTTCTTGAAATTTGGTCCTTTAATTTTACCTTTAGGGAAATCAATATTCAGATCAGGTGCTGTGATATCTGGCTTCTGACCACCAATGTTGATATCTGGGGAATCAAAGTCTGCCTTAAACTTTGGAGTTGACAAATCCATTTCAGGGGTCTTCAAATCATAGTCGGGTGTCTTTATTTTTGGTCCTGAGACACCAAACTTAGGCATCTTTAAATTGGGCATTTTCATTTTTCCAGAAGGCTTGTCAATGTCTGGAAGTGTAAGATCTGTATGTGGACCTCTGAGATCTACATTAGGTCCATGTACATCAATATCAGGACCATTTATTCCTGCTTTTAGTTTGGGAGTTGATGCACTCAGATTAATGTCAGGCTGATCAATGTCAGCATCCACATTCATGTGAGGCCCTTTCAAACCTGACAAGCCAAAACTGGGCATATTTAGGTTTGGCATTTTAAATTTACCTGATGGGCCATTAACATCAAAATCAGGTGATTTGACATCTAAGTTCGGGCCTTTAAAATCAGTTTGAGGCAGAGTCAGATCCATGTCTGGTGTATCGATTCCTCCCTTAATTTGGGGGCTTTTGAGATTCAGGTCTGGAGATTTGATTTTAAGATCTGGGCCTTTTGGTTTACCACTTGAGAAGCCAAATTTGGGAAACTTCAGTTTACCTGAAGGGGAATTTACGTTGAGATCAGGTGCATTCATGTCAAGATTGGGTTTCTTGAAATTTGGTCCTTTAATTTTACCTTTTGGGAAATCAACATTCAGATCAGGTGCTGTGATATCTGGCTTATGACCACCGATGTTGATGTCTGGGGAATCAAAGTCTGCCTTAAACTTTGGAGTTGACAGGTCCATTTCAGGGGTCTTCAAATCATAGTCAGGTGTCTTTATTTTTGGTCCTGAGACACCAAACTTAGGCATCTTTAAAGTGGGCATTTTCATTTTTCCAGAAGGCTTGTCAACATCTGGAAGTGTAAGATCTGTATGTGGACCTCTGAGATCTACATTAGGTCCATGTACATTAATATCAGGACCGTTTATTCCTGCTTTTATTTTGGGAGTTGATGCACTCAGATTAATGTCAGGCTGATCAATGTCAGCATCCACATTCATGTGAGGCCCTTTCAAACCTGACAAGCCAAAACTGGGCATATTTAGGTTTGGCATTTTAAATTTACCTGATGGGCCATTAACATCAAAATCAGGTGATTTGACATCTAAGTTCGGGCCTTTAAAATCAGTTTGAGGCAGAGTCAGATCCATGTCTGGTGTATCGATTCCTCCCTTAATTTTGGGGCTTTTGAGATTCAGGTCTGGAGATTTGATTTTAAGATCTGGGCCTTTTGGTTTTCCACTTGGGAAGCTAAATTTGGGAAACTTCAGTTTACCTGAAGGAGCTTTTATGTCAAGGTCAGGTGCATTCATGTCAAGATTGGGTTTCTTGAAATTTGGTCCTTTCATTTTACCTTTAGGGAAATCAACATTAAGATCAGGTGCTGTGACATCTGGCTTATGACCACCAATGTTGATGTCTGGGGAATCAAAGTCTGCCTTAAACTTTGGAGCTGACAAATCCATTTCAGGGGTCTTCAAATCATAGTCGGGTGTCTTTATTTTTGGTCCTGAGACACCAAACTTTGGCATCTTTAAAGTGGGCATTTTCATTTTTCCAGAAGGCGCGTCAATGTCTGGAAGTGTAAGATCTGTATTTGGACCTCTGAGATCTACATTAGGTCCATGTACATCAATATCAGGACCATTTATTCCTGCTTTTAGTTTGGGAGTTGATGCACTCAGATTAAGGTCAGGCTGATCAATGTCAGCATCCACATTCATGTGAGGCCCTTTCCAACCTGAATGGCCAAAACTAGGCATATTTAGGTTTGGCATTTTAAATTTACCTGATGGGCCATTAACATGAAAATCAGGTGATTTGACATCTAAGTTCGGGCCTTTAAAATCAGTTTGAGGCAGAGTCAGATCCATGTCTGGTGTATCGATTCCTCCCTTAATTTTGGGGCTTTTGAGATTCAGGTCTGGAGATTTGATTTTAAGATCTGTGCCTTTTGGTTTTCCACTTGGGAAGCTAAATTTTGGAAACTTCAGTTTACCTGAAGGGGCTTTTATGTCAAGGTCAGGTGCATTCATCTCAAGATTGGGTTTCTTGAAATTTGGTCCTTTAACTTTACCTTTAGGGAAATCAACATTCAGATCAGGTGCTGTAATATCTGGCTTATGACCACCAATGTTTATATCAGGGGAATTAAAGTCTCCCTTAATCTTTGGAGCTGACAAATCCATTTCAGGGGTCTTCAAATCATAGTCGGGTGTCTTTATTTTTGGTCCTGAGACACCAAACTTTGGCATCTTTAAAGTGGGCATTTTCATTTTTCCAGAAGGCTTGTCAATGTCTGGAAGTGTAAGATCTGTATTTGGACCTCTGAGATCTACATTAGGTCCATGTACATCAATATCAGGACCATTTATTCCTGCTTTTAGTTTGGGAGTTGATGCACTCAGATTAAGGTCAGGCTGATCAATGTCAGCATCCACATTCATGTGTGGCCATTTCAAACCTGAATGGCCAAAACTGGGCATATTTAGGTTTGGCATTTTAAATTTACCTGATGGGCCATTAACATCAAAATCAGGTGATTTGACATCTAAGTTCGGGCCTTTAAAATCAGTTTGAGGCAGAGTCAGATCCATGTCTGGTGTATCGATTCCTCCCTTAATTTTGGGGCTTTTAAGATTCAGGTCTGGAGATTTGATTTTAAGATCTGGGCCTTTTGGTTTGCCACTTGAGAAGCCAAATTTGGGAAACTTCAGTTTACCTGAAGGGGAATTTACGTTGAGATCAGGTGCATTCATGTCAAGATTGGGTTTCTTAAAATTTGGTCCTTTAATTTTACCTTTTGGGAAATCAACATTCAGATCAGGTGCTGTGATATCTGGCTTATGACCACCGATGTTGATGTCTGGGGAATCAAAGTCTGCCTTAAAATTTGGAGTTGACAGATCCATTTCAGGGGTCTTCAAATCATAGTCAGGTGTCTTTATTTTTGGTCCTGAGGCACCAAACTTAGGCATCTTTAAAGTGGGCATTTTCATTTTTCCAGAAGGCTTGTCAATGTCTGGAAGTGTAAGATCTGTACTTGGACCTCTGAGATCTACATTAGGTCCATGTACATCAATATCAGGACCATTTATTCCTGCTTTTAGTTTGGGAGTTGATGCACTCAGATTAAGGTCAGGCTGATCAATGTCAGCATCCACATTCATGTGAGGCCCTTTCAAACCTGAATGGCCAAAACTGGGCATATTTAAGTTTGGCATTTTAAATTTACCTGATGGGCCATTAACATCAAAATCAGGTGATTTGACATGTAAGTTCGGGCCTTTAAAATCAGTTTGAGGCAGAGTCAGATCCATGTCTGGTGTATCGATTCCTCCCTTAATTTTGGGGTTTTTGAGATTCAGGTCTGGAGATTTGATTTTAAGATCTGGGCCTTTTGGTTTGCCACTTGAGAAGCCAAATTTGGGAAACTTCAGTTTACCTGAAGGGGAATTTACGTTGAGATCAGGTGCATTCATGTCAAGATTGGGTTTCTTGAAATTTGGTCCTTTAATTTTACCTTTTGGGAAATCAAAATTCAGATCAGGTGCTGTGATATCTGGCTTCTGACCACCAATGTTGATGTCTGGGGAATCAAAGTCTGCCTTAAACTTTGGAGTTGACAAATCCATTTCAGGGGTCTTCAAATCATAGTCAGGTGTCTTTATTTTTGGTCCTGAGGCACCAAACTTGGGCATCTTTAAAGTGGGCATTTTCATTTTTCCAGAAGGCTTGTCAAGGCGAGGAACATTCATGTCAAGATTGGGTTTCTTGAAATTTGGTCCTTTAATTTTACCTTTAGGGAAATCAACATTCAGATCAGGCGCTGTGATATCTGGCTTATGACCACCAATGTTGATGTCTGGGGAATTAAAGTCTGCTTTAAACTTTGGAGCTGACAAATCTAATTCAGGGGTATTTAGATCATAGTCAGGCATCTTCATATTGGGTCCTGAGAGACCAAAATCAGGCATCTCAAAAGTAGGCACTTTCATTTTTCCAGATGGAATGTCAGGAAGTTTAAGGTCTGTTGTTGGACTTTTCAGATCAGCATTAGGTCCATGGATGTCAATGTTAGGACTATTTAACCCTGCATTTAGTTTAGGAGTTGATGCATTCAGATTAAGGTCAGGCTGATCAATGTCAGCATCCATATTCATATGTGGCCCTTTCAAACCTGACATGTTAAAACGGGGCATCTTAAACTTTGGCATATTGATTTTTCCTGAAGGGCCATTAACATCAATATCAGGTGATTTGATATCTAGGTTTGGGCCTTTCAAATCAGATTGAGGCAGATTCAGATCCATGTTTGGGGTATCAATTCCTCCCTTAATTTGGGGACTTTTGAGATTCAGGTCTGCAGATTTGATTTTAAGATCAGGTCCTACTGTCTTGCTTCCAGAGATGCCAAATTTTGGCAGCTGTAGTTTACCTAAAGGGACATCTATGTCAACGTCATGTGCATTCATGTCAAGACTGGGTGTCTTTAAATCAGGTCCTTTAATTTGACCTTTAGGGAAATCAACATTCGTGGCAGGTACTGTGATATCAGTCTTATAGTCTTTAATGTTGACGTCAGGAGAATCAAAGTCTGCCTTAAACTTTGGGGCTGACAAATCATAGTCAGGCGTCTTTATTTTGGGTCCTGAGAGTCCAAAGTCAGGCATCTTGAAAGTAGGCATTTTCATTTTTCCAGATGGCATGTCCATGTCAGGTAGTGTAAGGTCTGTTTTCAGACCTCTGAGATCTACATTAGGTCCATGTACATCAATATCAGGACCATTTATTCCTGCATTTAGTTTTGGAGTTGATGCACTCAGATTAAGGTCAGGCTGATCAATGTCAGTATCCACATTCATACGTGGCCCTTTCAAACCTGAAAGGCCAAAACTGGGCATCTTTAACTTTGGCATATTAAATTTTCCTGATGGGCCATTAACATCAATATCAGGTGATTTGATATCTAGGTTTGGGCCTTTCAAATCAGATTGAGGCAGAGTCAGATCCATGTCTGGGCTATTGATTCCTCCCTTAATCTGTGGGCTTTTGAGATTCAGGTCTGGAGATTTTATTTTAAGATCAGGTCCTACTGTCTTGCTTCCAGAGATGCCAAATTTTGGCATATTTAGTTTACCTGAAGGAACATTTAAGTTGAGGTCAGGTGCATTCATGTCAAGATTGGGTTTCTTGAAATTTGGTCCTTTAAATGTGCCTTTAGGAATATCAAAATCCATCTCTGGGACTGTGAAATCTGGCTTTTGACCTCTGATGTTGATGTCTCGTGAATCAAAGTCTGGAGCTGACAAATCCATTTCAGGGGTCTTCAGATCGTAGTCAGGTGTCTTTATTTTTGGTCCTGACAGATCAAAATCTGGCATGCTGAAAGTGGGCGTTTTCAGTTTTCCAGAATGCATGTCTATGTCTGGAAGGTCTGTTTTCAGACCTCTGAAATCAGCCTTTGGTCCATCAATTTGTATATTAGAAGAACCATCAAGACCTGCAGCTACTTCAGGGGATGATAATGCTAATTTTGACTCCTTCATACTTGCATCATAATTAATGTCTGTTTTCTTATTTCCAAAGGAGCTAAACATTTTAAATTTTGGCTTCTTGACATTAATTGATGGTACATCCATATCCATATCAGAAGAAATAAGCAATGCACTTGGGCTTTTGAAATGGCCTTTTGTGAGGTGCATTACTGGAGATCCTTGGGTATTTGGCAGTGTAAGATTTGAATCTGGCGTGTTAATATCAACATTTATGTTTGAATCTGTATATGTTCGACCCCGTAGGTCGATTTCACTTCCAACATCGGGTAAGTTCATTTTGGACTGATGTGCTGAAACATCACTTGCAATGTTGCCTTTGATTTTTGCTCCTCTCATTAGGTCAGATCCTTGTAGTAACATGTCTGAGTTGTATTCACCTGTAGAATCATTGGTACCATAATGGATCATAGGCCATTCATGATCCACTTTCTCATCAGGTTCTGTTTCATATGGAGTGTGACACTTCCGATCTGCATTCTCAAGTAAAGCTGCAACGTTTATCCTGCCTTTGTGGTCAAGTGTTTGGGCTGTCGCTGGACCATTCTGTGTGCCATGTCTGTATTCCTTAGCAGCTTTGTTTCCTTTCATGAATTTCCTGACTTTAGTATTGTAGAGTTTGTCATATGAATCTTTCCACACCTGTTGAAACAATGTAATCAGAACAAATCATGACGATTTATGATTTAGGGTTGCAAAAAATTGTGAATGCAATGTCCACAGACCTCATTTGGAGCTTTGACATCCAGACTTTCCAAGCTCTTGCTGGATTTCAAACCATGCTTCATCACCTCCTTGTCATTATCAATCAACTTCAAAATGTCCACAACTTCATTTTTCTTTTGTTTATTCCTCTTCAGATCAAACTGACCACTGGAACCCACAATTTCACTATCTGAAATAGAAATGTAATCTATTTTATCCTTACATTTTCACCATATTAAGGTTCATGGCAAAAGCAGATTTATTCACAGTAAAAGTGTTTTGTAAAAGAATGATGCTTAAAAATTATACATTGATGTACAAAATTCATAATCAAACAGTGCTGTACCTTCTAAAAAGTTCAGGTCCGAGTATTCCAATCTCTCTCCAGAAACATTATCATCTTCAGCCAGCAGGCTGTCCGAAAGGCTTCTTCGATAAAGAGCCTGCAAATTACAATATACTATTATGTTGTATTGCCCCTCTCAAAATTTCATGAAATTAAATGCATGTAAAATAAAAAAACAGAATAACATGAGTTTTTGATGAGAAACATGTAGCACCTACACCTCTACCATTTTTTATTAATAAATCACTCATCATTTATACTTTTTAACAAATTACATAAGGATTTAACATATATTTGATATCAGTATCACACACACAAAATGCATAAAATATAGTTTATATGATGGGATAAAAAATGTGATGCATACCATTTCACTTGTAAACATTTACAGTGAAGAAAAGCCTCCAAAACTCAAACCTGTAAATGCAAAAGAAATGATTCAGCAGCAACAAGACAACCAAGTTCCAGTGCTAATTATTATTGGCACACTTGTAATTGTTAATGGCTGGTCATAATGCAATGAGAGAATAGAACATATAAATTATGAACATATGGGTAATCAGTAAATGAAGAGAAGCACCTTCTCAAAATGAAACAAGACCGAGCAAATCTAAATTAAAGGACATTTATCTTGGTGCACAATTAATCCTGAAACACGTTAATGCTTAGTACAATTGTCTGCGTTTTTCCCACTGGCACATAAACAGTTAGACGAAACTGTGAGGTATTCAACAAATTGTTCAGGGATAGTGTAACAAGAGGGCGTTAGGAACAGGTTAGGTCAGATAAAGGAAAAATGTGAACAGACCTCAACTTTTAAACCACACCCTTGGTTTTAAACATGTGTAATCAAAGAGGTAGCAGTTGCTCCCATGATCATCTTTAAGGATACATATTTTGATAACCGGTTCAACTATAAAAATGTAATTGTCTTCAATGAAACCGGCTCCGAAAACAATCCAATTACAAACTACTATCTATAGTATATGATCTAATTAATATGCACATTTATAGTAATCACAAATTAAATATACAGGATCTGAAAATGTGCTTCAGAAGCATTATTTTCAATATAAGGTACTTGTCAGTAGCAATTTGTTGCTAAAGTGGTCCCTAACGAAATAAAGTACTCTTTCACTCAGTCACAACATAATATAACCATATATATAACCATCCCTGTGTAATGCTTCTCGTTTTAATAAGCTAGTTAAATGCAATTTGCAATATAACCTATTTGTAAATTACAGGAAAAACAAGATTAAATCAGCATAACTTGTGCAAGCGCTGCATAGTCATTCATTTACATTTATTCATTTAGCTGACGCGTTTATCCAAAGCGACTTACTATTGTTATATATGTCAGAGGTTGCACGCCTCTGGAGCAACTAGGGGTTAAGTGTCTTAGTCAGGGACACACTGGTGTCTCACAGTGGATTCAAACCCGGGTCTCTCACACCAAAGGCGTGTGTCTTATCCACTGCGCCATTACCACCCCATTCACACCCTCGTCCTCATTCATAACAGAAGCAGCTGCATTTGATATACATTCAAACTTTCAGTACTATACAGACGGTTTTACGTAAAAAACAGTGAAGTCAAAAGTACTGTTGTAAACTTTAACAGCAAAGAAAAGCCTTACCTTATATCCCATGAGCTTTAAAATCCTTGTTCAATATCAGCAGTGATAATGAGCCACACTGAAGAGTTTCGGCAGGACGAGGCTGTGTTTACCTCTGTTCTCTTCCTACTGTTTATGGAATCCTCATTGCAGCGAGTAATACACTTCAAGAGTGGACAGACTGGTTTAACCTCAATCTGGCCAAACACATATACCTCATAAAGCTTCAGCATCATTGCCTGTTCTACATTGGAGGCAGGGTGACATAACAATAACAAACCTCTCCCTAAATCTAGATTGTTGGGAGGAACTCAAAAGAAATGCTTGAAAAAGCCTAAACTATGTACACACGTACTCCCATATGACTCATATGTGTTGGGGAAACACACACCTGTGCAAGGTGTACTCACTTTCACACAAGCCTGGGTGGAGATGTGGTTAAATGTTCACACCTCTAATGAAACCAATTATGCATTATAATTTCTCCATAGAGGTAATGCATTCAAACCACAGAAATAAATATTAAAATACAGTGAGACTCTCACACGCGTTTTACCTGTTCGAAAAATTACTTTGAGTAGATCCTCTTATAAAAAATACAAACCTGAAACAGACAAATAACTAAAAAAACCCCCCACACATTTATATCTAAAATTTAAAAATGTGACTATTTATGAAACAAACATTTTTCCCTGAGTTTTACATTGTTCTACATGGCACAACATGATATAAACTGCAGGTTTTGTCCATTCATCGGACTCCAACAACATTCCGTCCTCAAACAGCTACAGTACTTTAAACTTGCTCTTCCCCTCCACGTAAAAGTTTCTGGAAAAAAGAGTCCTCTCTTTGGCACAGAGCAGCCGGGCTGTCAAACTCCACCACCTTCCCAGCATGCATCACCAGTACTCTGTCTGAGTCCATGATTGTATTCAGTCTGTGGGATAAGAAAGACCAGGTTGGGTTGTATGGCAAGAGAAATGTTCTTGACAGATGTTTTATATAATACATAAACATGATAATTTATGAAGTAGAAAAGGTAGCAGAAAAAAAGGGTCTCTACTAGGTTTTGATTCTTTGAGTACTATCAATCAGACAAGACACGCTAAAAACTAAATTAACTTCAATCTGACTTTAACAACTTCTTAAAGCAGTGATGAATCGTAATTTTCTGTAGCAGATTCACTTAAACTTATCATGCGCAAACTAGCATGTTAACATTACCTAAAAATACCTGCTAGTATGTTATAAATGTGGTTGTTCGGTACAAAGGTTAACAGAGATTATTCTGGTAACATCAATCATAAAAGAGTTGCAAATATACTTTTACAATGTGAACATGACAAATTTGTTGTCAGTTTCATTTAATAAATGTCTCACAAAACTGTGTGCTTTGGGTGTGACGGCGTTTAAACAACAGTTCCTCATTCCTAAAGAAAAGTTGGATAAAGGAATCTTATCCCTTGTTTTTTATTAAATAAAACAACAGCATCAAGTTTAATAAAAAAAAAATGTAAACACTGAAGTATAAATCATATGCAAGTAAGAAAGCAGTTTGTGACCTGTGGGCGATGGTAAGAACGGTTTTATCCTTGAATTTTTCTCTGATGGTTTTTTGTAGAAGCATGTCAGTCTTTTGGTCGACACTTGCTGTGGCCTCATCAATGCATAAAATCTATTGGACCATAAAATTAACAATAAAGTACATAATTGATATAAGATGGAAAAACGGATATATGTTTTAAGTTTTTTATACAATAGTTTTATACATTAGCTTCTGTAAGCAGAGCACGAGCAAGACACAGCAGCTGCCTTTGGCCCACAGACAGAGACTTTCCTCTCTCTCCAACCTCCGAATCCAGGCCACCTGTAATGTGATAGACAAAAAAAAAAATTCATTAATTAATTTGAAAACTAAAAAGTATTTTCTCACGTCCTGGATAAATCCTTTCAAAGAAGATGGGTTTGAATTGAACAAGCTCAACACAACAATCAAAGATGATCAACTCTCACCAATCCTCTGTACTACATCTCCCAGGTGGCATTGCATAAGAGCATCTAGCAACCGGAAGTCTGGATGATGGCCATGGGGATCAAGGTTCTCTCGAACTGAGCTGGAGAAGAGGAAGGGATCTTGAGGGATGATGGCCAGCTTTGATCTATAGAGCACGAAACAAAATGAATCCTTATTTAAACACAGACTTAAAGTCTAAGACCACTTTTTTAGGATTTAGGAAGACTTATATAACTTACATAAGACTTACATAAAAATATTTACAGTTCTGGACTATTCTTTGATCATTTGTCAAACACAAACATTTTTTGTACATTTCTTCAAAGGGTTGGGGGGGGGCTGGTGGGGGTCGGTGATATTTGTTATCTTTTTTTAGTTTTTTTTTTTTATCTTATGCTTACCAAGCCTGCATTTATTTGATCAAAAACACAGTAAAACAGTAATACTGTAAAAAAAAATTAAATAACAGTTTTCTATTTTCATTTACTTTTAAGCAGCAGTCCGCAGTTTTTCCTCTTTGTCGCCATCTCTGTTCGAAATTTGCAATTGCAGTTATTTGCGGAATTGGCTTTATGCCCAGCTGCACTACTTCCTGAACTTCAGCCAGCTTCTTGTTTCCTGTCTGCCATTATTGGCCAAATTGATTAATTCAGGTGTGTCTGATTATTGTTGACATGACAACTGAGGTCAGGCACACCTGGATTAATCAATTTGGCCAATAATTGCAGACAGGAAACAAGGAGCTGGCTGAAATTCAGGAAGTAGTGCAGCTGGGCATAAAGCCCATTATCAACTTTATGCGAGTTGTACCTCGACACGGCACAGTACGGATGAACACAAAGTTTGAGGAGACTGTGAGGCTGTCAGTCGCCACGCCGGTGTGTATACTGGTATTCAGAATCACAGATAATCCTTTTTGGAAGTATGACCAACATAAGAATTTTCACCGGAAAATGTCATTCCAACATATAACGTCCACTTTTTTTCTGGTTCTGACACTGCAGTGAATCGCACTGATTAAATCTAACAATCGCTTATCATATCACGCACAACTGTGCAAATTATACATTGTTCTTAAATTGTTAATGTTAACAACGTCAGCAACAATGTGACTACATCTCATGTCCTTCCGGTATTATCCTTGTTTTCGCATGGATTTGCATTTTACAGCGGGTGAATCTGTTGTCACTGGTGATTGTCGTTTGAACCTTTCTGGATCCGCCATCAAATTGATAAGTTTAATTATATCAAGTGCTGTGAGAAAAGACTATATTCTCCACCTCCAGCATCCTAACACTCAATATAGCCTACTAGGCGAGACTCTTCTTTATGTGTACAGAAGATGTGACGTAATGATTCAAAGACATGCTCGAATCTCCCGCAGAAATTCACCAGTACCACTGGAATTAAAAACATTGTTACAAGCTTACCGCTTTGAATAGATTTAAGCTAAGGCAAGCAGATCGTTTTGAACACTGGCTGGTTATGTATTTTTTCAAAAATGTATTTTGGATAATTTTTAACCCCAAAAAAAGCTACGGACTGCAGCTTTAAAATACAATTTATTCTTGTGGTGGCAAAACGGAATTTTCAGAATTTTTTTTTGAGTTTTTTGATGAATAGTTCAAAAGAACAGAATTATTTCAAATAAAATCTTTTGTCTGCAACACTTACCGCAAGTTACCAAGCCTAACCGAGCTGATATCAATTCCATCCAGCAGTATTTGCCCCTGGTTCAGCTCCACCATACGGAATAGGGCAAGGAACAACGAGGATTTCCCAGAACCTGTGCGCCCCACAATGCCGACCCTCTCCCCTGGTAAAACCTCCAAGCTGACCCCATCGAGAGCGTTGGGCAAACCTGGCCTGTACGCCAACACGGCACCCACAAACTCAACACTGCCCTTTTTAGGCCACGAGTCTAGAACCTGCAGAAGGTAGAGTTTTAGGCCAAGGTTGTGCTATACACTTTAAATTTTAAATACACACATTTTTAATGTTTTATATAGGCTATATGGATCTATTATACTGCAACACATGCATTTTCTTTCTAACATAATTGACTGTTTATATGTCAGAAAAAAAGAAAGACATTTTTCATTATTTTGTGTGTATTTGACTGTTTAAGCGCAAGAAGCAGTGAAAAAGAACTAAATTTAGTGCTGAGAGGCTGCTTTATGAGCGTGCACTTTGGGTGTGAGCACAAAATCTACGGGAATGACTAAAATTATGCGTAGTATGTGCAGTTTCATTGGACCCGTGAAGACCTCTAGTACATATTAAATATAAAATTCAACCCGCCAAAGTGGTTTAGCTAGTTTATATATACACACACACAATTGGCTGAATGTACAGACTTTCAGCTGTTTGCACTGAACAAGTCAAACAAAATTAATTGAAATATCAACATGACATCATGACTTTTGCCTAAACATACACGCCACTTTCGAGTCTACGCATTTTGAGCTATCCGTGTGTATGTCTACGCCATTAACGTCTGAGTAATTCCGCGTGTCTGTACATGCCGTCAAATGTCCGCACAAAACGAAGCAAAATGTAGATCTACATCTGGGGAGCGATCTTTTTTTTTTCCTAGGATGGTAAGGGAACAGTCATAAATGCCATTAACCCTAGTGACGGTTAGGTTTAGGGATGGGGTTGATGTAAGTCATATATTTATGTACACAGTAATAACGTTAAAGGAACACTCCGACTTTTTGGGACTTTAGCCTATTCACCTTACCCCCCAGAGTTAGATAAGTCCATACATACCTTTTTCATCTCCGTGCGTGCTATAAGTCTGTTTGACGCACCCACCACTAGCCTAGCTTAGCACAAAGACTGGATGTGAATGGTTGCAGCTTTCATACTAATCCAAATGAGTGACAAAATAACGCAAACGTTTTCCTATTTACATGTTGTGGTTTGTATAGTCACAGAGTGTGCAAATATCAAGGCCATATGAGACACAGACATCTTTTGACCGTGTAAATACTATATTTTCTGAAGGGGAAGCACTGCTACTTGGGCAGAGTGATAACAATCACCTGAGACGTACCGTGACGAGGAGCAGAGAGTTCTCTTCGCTCAGCGTTGGAATAAAGAGTCAGCAATTACTAACGTTAGATAGAAAAGCATAGTTTATCACGGGTGTTTGCTTTATTGTATGAGCTGTGACAATAAACAGGGGAGACCAGGTAATACAGTACCATGTTTCATTGATTTCCAACCAAAAACGCACCCAGATTTATAAATATCACATGAATAAATAATTATTATTACAGGAATCAATATATTTTAAATGCAATTTATTAGCTGAACCAAATGTATTCAACAGTAGCCTATATAATATACAGTATTGCATTACTATAGGATAGAATAAGGGGAAAGTAATAGCACAAATTGTTTTTGCACAATGAACTCACAGCCTATCGTACCCTTTTGCACGCTCAAGTTCGTTATTTCCATGGTTATTTCAAATTTAGGCTACTAGGCGCGCCGCGCGCAGGGTGCAAGTTCAACGCGGTGAACGCGCTC